CTCTTTTCCCTTCTTTTCTTCTCCTTTCCTTCTTTCCTTCCCTTTCCTTCTTTTCCCTTCTCTTTCCTTCTCTTTTCCCTTCTTTTCCTCTTTCCTTTCCTTTCCTTCTCCTTCACTCTCCTTTCCGCTCGCCTGCCTGCTTGCCTGCCTGCCCCACCCAGCCCCAGCCCGGGCTTCGGCCGAGGCCGGGACACACCCAAACAGCCCAGCGGCCGGGTCCCGCCACCCGCCCTTTGCCCATGCCCCGGGGAACTCTTGTCCCAGAGCCGCCGCCGCCGCCGTCTCCGCCGCCGCCAATGCCAATCCCTACGGGCGGACGCCATCCTCACCTGCACGATCTCCTCTCCGGGCATCCGGGCAGCGCTGGGCTGCTGCTGCTGCTGTTGCTGCGGAGGAGGAGCCGGCGGCGGCTTGAGATCTTCTGGAGCCGGCGGAGCGAAGATGGAGCCTTCCCGGCCGCCCAACACGGGCTTGAGCTGCGCGAAGACGGGCTCCTCGGGCCCTAGGCGGACGCTCATGCTCAACACCCGGGTAGCCATGGGGCCAAGGGCAGCTCTGCGGGAAGAAGGCGCCTGGCCCGCCCTTTGCGCGGCTCACGCCCTCCGCCTCCGCCTCCTGCTCCTGCCCAAGCTGCTGAAACCGCTGCTGCTGCCTCCGCCGCCGCCGCGCATCGGGCTCCTCTACCTGGCCGACACCTCCCTCCTTCCCTCCCTCTTGGCGGACCCCGGCGCGTGCCCGCCCGCCTCTATTTCAGCGCCTCCACCCAGGAGGAGGCCCGCCCGGCGCCCCGCCCTGCCCTGCATTGGGGAGAGGGGAGGAGGAGGGGGGTGAGGAGGCTTGGCTGGCTGGCTGGCTGGCAGGCAGCAGGAGGGGCCAAGAGCGCCCCCTCTTGCCAGGCGGGCCGCCACCCTCCCCTCCCCTCCGCCACCTCAGTGCTGGGCAGCGGCTCCTCCCTTATTTATTCTTATTTATTTATTTTATTCAATTGGTATCCCGCCCTTCTCCTAGTGGGCTCGGGGCGGTGGGCAGCCAGAACTAAAACACATCCCAGTGCAAAATTTAAAATTTTGAGAAGAATTACATGACTTGGGCCCAGAATTTAAAACATTCAAACTAAAACCCATTGACAATTTAAAAGGCTAAAAAAAGGGGGGGGGGGGTTTCACGCCAGCCCTGCTTGATGGAAAAGAAAAGTTTTTAGGGCACGGCGAAAGGCCCGGAGATCCAATATCCTTCGTATCTCTGGGGGCAAATCGTTCCAGAGGGCAGGAGCTGCCACAGAGAAGGCCCTCCCCCTGGGGATCGCCAGCCGACATTGCCTGGCCGACGGCACCCTGAGGAGTCCCTCTCTGTGGGAGCGTACTGGTCGGTGGGAGGCTATCGGCGGCAGAAGGCGGTCCTTCGGGCCAGCAGTCCGCCTTCTCCGGCTGCCGGGCCTCCCTCCGCTGGGAGAAGCGGCAATCGGGCAAGGCAGGCCGCTCAGAGGCAGCAGCGCCAGCAGCAGCACCCGGTCCCACTTTCCGCGGGCAGAGCCGGGTGCTGCCAAGGCTGCGGGAGAGATCGCTGGGTCCCGCTGGCTGGCGTTCTCCTTTGCCCTCTGCCGTCATGGGGCGCCTCTTTTTGGCTTCTGAATCCCGGGAGCGCTGGGGCTGGGATCCCCCGGGTTAAGGGGAGGGGACAGGCCGGCCCTAGGTTGCGCTTCTGGGTGCCAAGCGAGAGAGCAACGCTGGGATGCTGGGCTGCTCCGCGCCGTGTGAGTGCGGGATCCCCTCTTGGGCTGGGGAGGCAGAGAGGAAGCCCCTCGCCCAAGGGACAGAAGGTTCCCCAGGGATTTCACTCCATCATCATCATCGTCATTGTTGTTGTTCTTGTTGTTGTTATTATTAGTTAATCTTTAGTGAGATTCACAGCCTTTGAGGCTGGTTAATAGCTCAGCAGCTCGAGTCCTAACCAAGGACCTAGGAACTGTTAAGGTATCGTCGGAGGATGTAAGCTGTTACGAGTAAGATTTTTTTTGTAGAGTCTATTATTATTATTATTATTATTATTATTATTATTATTATTATTATTATTATTGTTTTATTTTATTTTATTTTATTTTATTTTATTTTATTTTATTTTATTTTATTTTATTTTATTTTTGCCGTAGCAGAGGCAAGATGTGAAAGAAACGGGAGTGTTGAACCCTGCAGAAAATAATGACCCTCTGCCATTAAGAAAGTCCCGGGAGGCTGCTGGCTTTTTTTCCCCCCCCCAAAGAGGCTCTTAAATAGTTACCCAGAGCGGAGTTCCCGGGACCGCAGTTCTGGCGCTCGGCCGGAGTTTTTGGGACACCCCCCACCCCAAGTGCTTTAACCACGGTCAGTTTAACACGGGACAAGCCAGCCTTCCAAATGTAGCCGGCTATCCGCCTTTCGTGGCCTGTTCTTAAGGAGGAACTTCTGCATCCTTGCAGTCTGGGAAGACAGCAAGAGGGTGTCGACTGTTTCCATTTGGACTGTTTTATTTTATATATAAATAAAATATGTACACATATTTTATATGTGTGTGTGTGTGTGTGTGTATATATATATATATATATATATATATATATATATATATATATATATATATATATATATATATATATATATGTATTTTCATATATATATATATATATATGTATTTTCCTATATATATACACACATATACATTTATATATACATATATATACACACACACACACACATATAAAATATGTGTACATATTTTATAATATGTACATATGTGTAAATATGTGTGTGTGTGTGTGTATATATATATATATATGTTTTCTTTTCCTTTCTTAGGCCTTTATGTGTATTTCTCTTTAGCGAGGTTCTTCCTACGTAAACCAAGATTTTTATGCAGCCCTAGTTCAGTGAAATCACAATCCACAATCCACTAGTTTCTAGCCTAGAAACTAGTGGATTGTGATTTCACTGAACTAGGGCTGCATAAAAATCTTGGTTTACGTAGGAAGAACCTCGCTAAAGAGAAATACATACATACATAACGTACATACATATATACATACATACATACACACACACACACACACACTCAGAAGCACAAAAGGCTACGATGCAAAATGATACACAAAGCCGAAAGTAATAATCGCACATTTCAAAAGCCCCTTTCCAAATGGGTGTATAATGCCAGCTCCCTACACATTAGAAACAGAATAACGTGTGTATTCCACCGAGGCTGAATTTTCCTTCCAAAGAGTCTCCATCCAAGCTGGAACCGGCTTTGCCAAAGTTATTGTTATTCTGGTAAAAGTTATTCTGTTAAAAAATTCACCATCAATCAATACATTCAACCAACGGAGGGAGAAGCCAGAAACATGTTTAGCCTCCAATTGCAACCGAGGCAAGGACCTCTTTGGAGAACAGATATAAGCTTAAGAAACCTAGTCGGGACAATGAACATTCTGTAAACCTTGGTTATGTAATCAAGACAACAAAATTGCAAGGATCCAACCCAAAACCACATGAGGGTGTTTTTCTCTGGATCAGAGAAGCTGCATCACCTGACCATGAGCTGGCAGCCTAATTTTAGCCAAAAGGAGCCCCTGAAATTTAGTCTGTGTCTCTCCTATAGAAAACTGAACTGTGCTTGTTTGTTGTTATTAGTTGCAAAGTTGTGTCCGACCCATCGTGACCCCATGGACAGCGTTCCTTCAGGCCTTCCTGTCCTCTACCATCCTCTGGAGTCCATTTAAGCTCATGCCTACTGCTTCAGTGACTCCATCCAGCCACCTCGTTCTCTGTCGTCCCCTTCTTCTTTTGCCCTCAATCTTTCCCAGCATTAGGCTCTTCTCCAGCGAGTCCTTCATTCTTATTCCGTGGCCAAAGTATTGGAGTTTCATCTTCAGGATCTGGCCTTCTAAAGAGCAGTCAGGGTTGATCTCCTCTAGGACTGGCCGGTTTGATCGCCTTGCAGTCCAAGGGACTCGCAGTAATTGTGAACTGCAGAACTGCGCTAGCAGTAATTAATTATTAGGGGTTTGTTATGTTAATTTAACAGCTTGCTTTATGATGCTAATGTCCTCTGTTGTTCCTGCAAGGCCCTGGAGAGATGCAACTCAGCATCCTGATAGTCTCCTTTGGCAATGTTGCTCTGCTGTCTGGCTTTGAACTTTCTTCCTTGAGAAATTGAAGCATGGGAAGACATTCTCTCTCTCTCTCTCTTTCCTCCTCCTTGGGTGTTTGTGGCATCTGATTGGCAGCCAGTTCTGTTTTCATGTAGAACCAGGTCTCTTTGCCAAAAATATTCTTGGTACCAATAAAAGAGAATATTTGTAGCTCAGGGTTAAAATGAGGGGTCCTTGGTGGTTTCTGAGTTTGGTTGTTTTCTTGCAGAGGTTTCATTACCCAAACTAGGTAACAGGTATCATCAGTGCACTGATTATGTTACCTAGTTTGGTTAATGAAACCTCTCGCTATTCTTTGTTGAATCTTTCTGTCCAAGGGGACTCTCAAGGAAAATAAGGGAGAACACAAATGACATAGATGAACATGGAAAATGAGGGAGAACATAACAGAAAAACAGTTGCCTGCTCTATTTTTTTTTTTTAAAATTAAGTAAATTAAAATTGGTCAATTTACAACATCAACAGCATACAAGGAAAACCAGATGAAAATGTTTCATAGATGGCACTTTCCACCAGCTAGAATAGCGAAGATGTTCCCTAGTAATTCACCGAAATGCTGGAAATGTAAGAGTAACTATGAAACATATTATCACCTCTGGTGGACCTGCCCAGTGGCAAAGAAATTCTGGGCTAAAGTTAAAAAGTGGATAGAGGAAATAATTCAGAACTCAATAAAGGGAGAACCTGAGCAGTTTCTACTAGGGATTTCCATAGAAAATTATACCAAGGAAATACATTATTTAATATTACATATATTGACAGCAGCCCGCATAGTCTATGTGCAAAATTGAAAGAAGGAAAATTTGCCATCAGAAGAAGATTTAATTAGAGAAGTTTTAGAATGCGCAGAGATGGACAAATTAACAAAAGAACTCAAGGAGAAAGAAGATACAGAATATTACAAAGTGTGGTGTAGATGGTATGAATGGTTGGAGAATAGGAAAAATGAGAAAGAGGAATAAAGGGGAGAGGGAGAATAAAAATGTTGAAGATCAAGTTACAATGTAGACGAAATAAAGAAAGATGGAAAATAATTGTTGAATAAGACAAAGTTAAAATATGTGTAAATAGAAGTAAATAGCAAGAAAGGATCACTTCAAAATAGCTGTAGGAAAAAGTGACATGTATATAAATGTTGTGTGTTTGTGTCTTGTTTTAATGTATTCAAAATAAAAAACTTTTTTAAAAAAATAAAATTGGTCAATTTAAAATAATTGATTAATTGATCATTACAATACCAGGGAGTGAAGCTGAGATGCCAAATCTATACAGGTTTTCGTCAACCCACCACCATTTGTTAATGACCGTCCAAAGTTACAACAGCACTGAAAAAAAGGGACTTAATGACCATTTTTTTACACTTGCGGCCACTCCCAACATCCCCATGGTCACGTGATCAAAATTCGGATGCTTGCCAGCTGGTTCATATTTCTGATGGTTGTAATGTCCTGGGGTCATGTGATCACCTTTTGCAACCTTCTGACAAGCAATGGCAATGGGGAAA